CCGCCAGAAAGCTCGTTCTACTGGAACAATTGTTGATTTATAAAAAAATGTATAAGTTAATGTTTAATAATTTTTTTATTTTAACTGTTATTGTTCACTCCGCAATGCTTTTCGTTTTCTAGAAAGTTGTACTGTAACTTCAGTAGGTTTACTTTTTTTTTATTTTATTTATTTGTTACAAATTAAAGTCGCATAACATAAAACAAAAAAAAGTCTAGCGCGTCTGTTCTTCCGGGTCACACGGGTCGACCCGGGTCAAGCAACGTGACCCTGACCCAGCGGGTTTTTTTGAATTAGGACTCGTGTCATAAAAATGATAGTCCCGACTCGAAAAAAAATTCGAGTCGGGTCAAACGACCCGGGTCGACTCGATCGTTTCGGAGCACTAGTCTATTCAGTATATCTTGCCTGCTCCAAGATCAATATACTTCCCCAATCACTTATCTCAACATTTTCCCAATCCATTTCACTAAAAATATTATCCAAATCCATCTCTAAATGTTCATTTCTGCATCATTCTCAACTTTAAAAAGAAATAATTAATTTAAATAATTTATTTTTCCTTATAAATACATTAAACTTACTCAGCTTTTGTGGCAAATTTTCCTTTAAGTAGTTTAATAAGAAAATTACATTTTTAGCAACAATGTTATGTTAACATTTCTTTTACCTTTTTGACGGCTTCATTATGTTCATGCTTGTAATTGTCGATTTTGTGTTATTATCGTTAGACATTGAAAGTACTCACATTTAACCTTTATCTCACGTATATATGGGATGGAAAATGGACTAATTTAAAATACCTATATGTAGTCCATATTATTCATATTTACTTTTTGTAGTAGTAATAGAAGGCATTCTCGATTAAAAATTCCAAATTATTAAATTCGATATCTTTTGTTCTAAATTAGCATTCACATAAATTAAAGTTAAATAGATATAAAAGATAATGTTTTTTTCTAAAGAGCTGTGGCCGAAGTTTAAATTATTTATGAGATTATTTTTAAGTTAGAGGGCTGTTACATAAAAGAGAGAGATTTTCGCAAATTTGAAAATGTGTCAAATTTAGTAATAGTCTGCTATTGTTACATTGAATACAATTCCGCCCTAAAACACCATAATTTCGCATGTTGATATCTGCAGTTAGTCATTTGCACAGTAGATCAATTTTTACAGGTGTCAAAGATGACAGGTTTTTAGGATGCCAAGTTGGCACGATGAGAGGATACTTAGATGCCAGATGTCAGGCTGTCCTTATATAATTTTTATTTTAGAAATATGAAATCCTTAAACAACTCAACATTCCACGCTTGCCCTTCTAATAATTGCATATATACACCTTAAAAACCTTCTTTATCCCTTCGCGATATTTTCGCTTTCGCCATTTTAACATTTTAATTTTATTATTGTATTTTCTTTATTTTTAATTCCCGATTTTTCTTAGTAATTGCGGAGTTTTAGTTAATTAGAGCTTTATTGATTGGCATTTATTTAGCTTAAATATATTGACATTGAGAAAGTATAACGTTGAAGTTAAGGCAACACTGATTAATTTGATATTATTAAATAAATTTAGCGTCAACATTATTCAATAAAAACCTCTGCTTACATTTAAAAATTGTTTATTGTCCGAAGCGTACTTCTGTTACAGTCAAAACCATGCATCTGTCTGTCACAGAATTAACCAATCAAAAATTAAGATCAGGTGTAACATAACACGTGCCCTTTACTCAGTTGTATTTTATATGACGAATTTTTCTTCACGTGATGCCGTGTTAACAAATTAGTTTTATATAAAAAATCAGATTTATTTCTGTTATACATTTAAGCAATATAAATTAACGCTTCGTTCGCTCAACGGTTCCCGTTCCCTAGTTATACATAAACGAAAGAACTGAATACAATACTATGATTCATATACATAGAAATCGGGATTCATTATACATTGAAAAACATAAAACACAGAGAAACAACAGAAATAAATATGCCTAACATTTTGCAATAAAATGCCCGCAAAGTTTCTCGTGAAGTAAAAAAGTTTTTAATATTTTTATATTATTCCCTTAATAAGTTTAATTTTTTAAATAAATCATTTCATGATTGATTTCTGGTTTTTCACTCACTTTGATCCTTTCAACTTTTATTCTTTTACAAAAATATTTCTCAATTTATTTTATCTAGATTATTTTATTTTTAACCTTTAGATATTATATGCGAAGGGTATGACGCATTATCGTGCAGTACCTATTAAAATAATTGTGAGAATTCCGGTGAAATTTTGGCAATTTTAAATGGCCCAAATCATTCTCATTACCTTTTTCATTTAACACCAAAGCTCGACGTAAATATGGAGAACGGTAGTTTACCAACTTCCAAAGTAACATCAAAATCATCATATCACTAAAACCAGAAGAATAAAAAAGAATCAAAAGAAAAAGATTAGTAATTATTAATCAAATAGATAAGAAATAAGCAATAATATAATATTTTCATTTTTTACGACAGACTGTCCACCTTAATTGGCCTTCAAATTCCTTCTTAGATTGACAAAAATATTTTCTTAATTGCTTGATGATATAATATCATTTTGGATTCGTTATCTTGAAGTTTCGATCGCCTTATTTCAAGAAAGTAGTTAATATTTCGTTTGGAATGGATATTCTAAACTCAAAGATATAGTTGTGCTCACTACTTATTTAATATAATTGATAAAATCAGAGATGCTTTAGTTGTATTATTTATTGTAGTCGTAGATGAAAGAGATGCAGAAGCACTTGCTAAAATGAAAGAAATTATCGTGATAATGGCAAAGGAAAGGATGCTTCAGAAAAATCATTATCTAAATAAATTGCTTTAAGAACTGTCGATAATTTTAAGTATAGTAGCAAGCATAGTCATCATTTCTTTAGCTCGTAATTTCCTTTGGTTCTAATAAATATGATATAATGTATTATTTGTTACTCTGAAATAAAGTCGAACAAATTCTAAAATATGTGGAGACTGTTAATCAATATTCTACTATCAAATATTATATTGGTTTTTGTTATGTCATAAACAACTTGATTATAAGTACATTATTATCAAACCTGAGAAATTTATATGAATGCTTTAAGAATCATCTATTGCTTCAAAAAAGTAGAGTATTCATAATATATAAATTTTGTTTTATGCATGTACATTACCACTTCTATGCGAACACAAATTTTCTCAGAAGTGTTCTTTCCGAAATATTACAATCAACATTTTTTCGAGACCCACCATAAGTTGATCGTATTCATCTATGCTTGATGCGACCCATCACCATCACTTATAATTAAATATAAAAATAAAATAAGAATATGCTTATGAAAGATGAAGCGAAAAATTACCTAAAAAATAATAAGAAAAAAAATAATTCAATTAAAAAAAAATAAATAACTTTCCTATGCATCCAACTCGTCTAAAATAAGAGAAAATAATTATTGAAATATCGATCTAACCTATTTAAGTTAGTATAAAATTAGCGGAAATAAAATATTTTCATGATAAATTGAAAGCAGAAACTATAAAATCGTCGGAAATATCTTTTGTTGATTCAAATAACGTAAAAAAAATTAATGGTATAAGATTTTAAGAATTCTTTTAAGATAATGAATACTAGTACCGATAAAATATATTTCCGGTTTACGAAATTTAATTTTTTTTTTATATATATTGGCGTGGCAATTTTTTTTACATATTCAAAAAGAAAATTTGACGCCAATTTGTGACGGGCTGTATATTTTGCAATTGAATATATTTTTTGAGCCCCTATGTTGTCAAGACCCATCGTCAAATCTCTTTCAATCTTGCTTGAAGCAAACGAAGTTTATTTAAGAAATGATGACCGTTTGTATAAGTTTTTATATTAAATTTGTTGCAAAGTCCTACATTTGTTGTAGGTAAATAATAATATGACATGTTTTAATAAATTTATCAAGATGGTGAAATTTGTATTATCAAATTCTTTGTTATTTATTGTATACTGAGAAAGTGTCGCTGTTTCATTCTTTATATTTTCAAACTCAACTCTAATGCTGTAGGTGAATTAATTCAAGTCTTCAAGAATTATAAAACGAAAACTGATTGCAAAGCATAATCTCCACCAAATCGATAGGTCACAAGCTTAAATGCAACCATGAGTTCATACATTTTTTAAATCATCAAATAATTTTTCAAATTCTCATTTGATAATTTTAACTAAAATACATCTTTTTTTTTTTTTTTGGAAACCCTAAAGAAAAACTTATTACCCGTTGAAAGGTTTAATTTATTAAATTTTATTTTACATTTTATTATTTTATTATTTTTGAACTTTATGTAGTTAAATGTATAGTGCACCCTCGTATACATCATGGATTTTCAAAAAAAAAACCTTAGAAAAAAATAAAGTAAATAAAGCTTTCTCATGATAATGAATGTTTTCAAGCCCATCAGTAATATCTTTTTCAAAATCGGCAACTTGGGATAATCCAATGAACGTTTCTTTGCCAACTGAAAATGCAAAAAAATAAAATTATATTTTGAACATTTCGTTAGATAATATGAACTGAAATAGTAACTTGTTTAACAATAGAACTTTTATCAGAATTAGGATTGGATTTATGAAACCTTTTATCGCTTTCCATATTTTTATTAAAAAAATACTAAACCGATTCATAGCTGCGCCCAATACCGAAAAGATTAAAAAAAAATTATATATATTAGCATAAAGCATAAGCAAAAGCTTAAAGCGTAAATCTTAAAGCTATAAAAATGACAACTATATTTAGAAATAGATCTAACCAAAAACTGAAATTTTTGGTTCGTCAAAAATTATTTGGAATCTCAATCCCTTTCCAAATAAAGTTAAGCAACGTGCTACCAACTTATTGGCACATTATATATCATGTTTAGATCGGAAACGGTTAATTTTATTGGGATGTTGGAGCATTTTGCTTACGTAAATAAACATTTACCGATAACGTTTATTAATTGTTCTCCTGTGATACTACACATCGATACATGGATATTTTAATATCGGAGTTGAATTATTCGGAAAATATCAATATTTCTGGTATAATTTGAAAATCGTACTAAGAATATTATTTACTAATAACCTAATAGATATTAATTAAAAGTTTTAACTATTTTAAGTAATCATGGCTAAATAAAATCTAGTTAGAATAAAAGTTGTCATCTTGAAAATGGCATTTACTAAACTATAGTGCTTTTCTTTATTTTATTATGAAGTGTAAATATAGTGATAAATTTGAGAGATTTAAATCTTGAAGATTTCGCCAATTTTTACGTTGATTTTCTGTAATTGTTATTTGATAAAATAAAATTGTTTTTTTAAATTTCTATATTTAAATTGTTTTAGATTGTAAATTATTTAGAGCTTAATTTGTGTAAAATTTTTAGAAAGTACTAAGAAAGTTATTTATTGTCAGTAACACGTGATCTATTTAATACGTCATTATTCACGAGCGTTAATAACCATGAAATATAAGTTATTTCGCCGATATCACAGGGTCGCACTCCGCCGTGACCCTGATGATATAGTCTGGTAAATATTTTAAAAGATTAACTGCAAATATTGAAAGTAATTCACATGTAGAATTATAGAGATTTCAGGCGGAATTATATTCAATGTAACAGTATTTATTTATTATAATAAAACTAATTAAAAAAAAAGTATTTAAAAGCAGAAAAAATATTAACACCTTATGAAAAAAATTTTATTTTATATTATTAAACTTAAAAGATATTAATCTTAAATTTTACTTATAGAAAAGAAAATAAAGATGATTCTTAAATACTTTTATAATATAAAAATAAAAAATAATAATTAATTTAATTAATTTGTAAATTTAAGCCTTTTTTATATGAAAACTAACTATTAAAATCAGAATACAGAACCTTAATTTAAATGAGATTTTTGATTTATATTATTATATAATACATAAACTTTAATTAGTTAAACATTTATCATTTATTATCTATTAACAAGTAAAACCTTTTTCATATATTTATATAATATTAATTAAAAATCTAAAATTTGATTTTGAAAATAATCAACATGAAATTAGAATATTTTATTATTTAAAAATTTAAAAAAGTTTCAAAATTCAAAATTTTTTATATTAAATTAAAATATTTAATATAAAACTATTATTAATTATTTGAATGAATATTTAAATATAAAATATAAATATTTATACCTTCAAAAAAAAATATTTTTATTAAAAAATTCCTTTTTTTTAGAAAAAAAAAATAATTAATTAAATAAAATAAAAATAAAAACAAATATAAATATAAAAAAATATGTAGAAAATCTAATTAAGATTTTAAATAATAAATATATTTGTATAGATTATTTATATATTGTCTAATTTATCTATATAAATATTTTTTCTTTCATTAACATAAAACTAACTCTATAATATTTAATTGCTTATATATAATAAAATTATTTTTATATAAAGATTTATAATAATCTTTTTTACTAAATTTTATCTAAACTTTTATGATAAATTATTAAATGAAATGATAATAATCCTTTATATAAGAATAATTTACAAAATTTTGTAAAAATATCTTAAAAAATATACTAATTTCATATAATTTTATTATTAAATTTAAGTTCTATATTATTTTTAAAGACATATTTATAATTATTTAATATTATTTATAATTTTTACATTTTAATTTTTATAATTTTTTAAATTATGAATTATATATAAATTTTGTATATTTTAGTTTTATAAAATTAATAAAATGCCAAAAGTCTTAATAATATTTCAAAATTTTTTGTGAATTTATATCACGTGATTAGTAATTAACTAATAAAAAATAAGATATTAATCTTTTTTTTGTATATAATTTTAAATTATAATATTTCAGGCTGACATTATAATTAATTATCATAATACTAGCTTAAATTATTATAAATTTTAATTAATAATATATGTTTCAAATTTAGGATAATTATATAAAAATTATTCAATTTTTAATACCTATAACTTTTTATATAGAACTTATTTTGAAAAATTGATTGGTAATTTAATAGAGCTAATTTTAAAGAATAAAGTTACCAGTTTATTTTTTAATTTTATTTTTTTTAAAGTGTTAAAAGATTTTAAATATTACAATTATATTGTTAAGTATAGACTTTCTGCACTATAGTAATATTATTAAATAAATTTAATATACATAATTAATACAAAAAATTATATCTATTTTGTATAATACTATTATTAAAAATTATTTGTAAATATTTTGTTTCACCATCATTTTTAATAATTTTTTAATTATTATATTTAAAATTTTATTTACTTTTTTTTATACTTTTTAAAAATTTACCTTAGCAATTATAAATTAATTTATCCAGTTTTACAAGTTTTAAATAATATATTGTATAAGTATATTAAAATAAATAAATTTAATTTATTATAGTAAATATAAAATTAAAATATTTTAAGCTCAATTATAATTAAATATTTTATGAATCTAATTTGTAATTAGTAAAATACTTGTTTTTATTTATTTTAAGTTTTTATCAATTTTAAAATTGATGAAATCTAAAGAAATTTTAAAATTAGCAAAATTTGAAGAAACTAGCATAATCTGATAAAACAAAATAAATCTTAATATATTCTTAATTTTTAAATTTTGATCTTTTTATTCTTTATATTATATTTGAATATATTAATTATTAAGAATTAAGTTTTTCAAAAATGAGTAAGAATTAAAATTTAATACAATCTAATGTTTTAATAATTACTAGCTTCAGTAGCTGAATTTCATTCATCATTACCATCTTTTTTTTATAACATTATTTTTAAAGAACTTCTTTTA